TATTTTAATGGGAAGTGCATTGAATTTATAGATTGCTTTGGGTAGTATGGACATTTTAATGATGTTGATTCTACCAATCCATGAACATGGTATGTTCTTCCATTTGTTTATAGAAGATCTCTTTTTTCAACGTCCTGTAGTTTTCCAAGTACAGGTCTTTTACCTCCTTAGTTAAGTTTATTCCTAGTTATCTTAAATTTTTTGGTGCAATGGTAAATGGTTTTTTTGTTTGTTTGTTTGTTTTTTTAGTTTCTCTTTCTGTGAATTCATTATTGGTTTATAAAAAGCCATAGATTTTTGGGTGTTAATTTTGTATCCTGTTGCTGAATGCATTTATTAAGTCTAGTAGTTTTTTGATGGAGTCTTTAGGGTTTTCTATGTACAAAATCATGTCTTCTGTGAATAATGGCAGTTTTACTTCTTTTCTAATTTGGATATCTTTTATTTCTTTTTCTTGTCTGATCACTATGGCTACTACTTCCAGTACTGTGTCAAACAGGAGTGGTGAAAGTGGGCATCCTTGTCTTGTTCATGTTATTAGGGGAAATGGTTTTAGTTTTTGTCCACTGAGTATGTTGTTGGCTGTAGGTTTGTCATATAAGGCTTTTATTATGTTGAGGTATGATCCCTCTATTTCCACCTTGCTGAGAGTTTTTAATCAAGAAAAAGTGTTGAATTTTTGTTGAATCCTTTTTTTCTGCATCAATTGATATGATTATGTGATTTTTTCCCTCTCAATTTGGTTAAGTGATGTATAACATTTATTGATTTGCAGATATGGTACCAGCCTTGCATTCCTGGAATAAATCCCTCTTGATCATGATGTCTGATCTTTCTAATATAATGCTGGATCTGATTTGTTAGAATTTTGTTGAGGATTTTAGCATCTATGTTCATCAGGGATATTGGCCTATAACTCTCTTTCTTTGCAGTGTCTTTATCTGGTTTTGGGATTAGGGTAATGCTGGCTTCATTGAAAGAGCTTGGAAGTATGCCTTCCTCTTGAATTTTTTGGAATAATCTGAGAAGGGTAGGTTTTAGGTCTTCTTTGAATGTTTGGTAAAACTCCCCTGTGAAGCTGTCCAGATCAGGGCTTTTGTTTGATGAAAGTTTTTTGATCATTGCTTCAATTTCTTCCATAATTATAGGCCTATTCAGATTTTTTGATTTTTCCTGATTGAGTTTTGGAAGATTGTATTTTTCTAGGAATATGTCCATTTCATCTAGGTTGTTCATTTTGTTGGAATAGAGTTGTTCATAGTATTTTTTTTTACAATCCTTTGTATTTCTGTGGGCTCTGTTGTTATTTCACCTCTTACCTTTTTTTCTTTTCTTGATATCATGTTTGCTCTCTTTTCTCTTTCCTAATTCTCTCTTCTCTGGTGTTCACTTTTATTGGGGTTATTGGTGTTCTTTTCAATAATTATAACAATTATTCATATTCTGAGAACTTTAAAAAGATTCAGTGTTGAAATTTATCGAATGCGTTTCAATACCTATTTAAATTATCCTAAAGTTTTTCTTACTTGACTAACTTATTTAATGTTTTAAAATTAATAGATTTAAATACTTAATGAATCTTTTATTCCTGGGTCAATATTTCTTGGTTATGGAGGATTCTTCTTTAAATTCAGTACCACATTTGAATGGCTGATTGAGTCAGAATTTTTGCATCTACATTTATAAGTGAGATAAGCTGTGTGTATTGACATATTATTAACTAAAGTCTATACTTGATTCACACATTTAGTTTTTACCTAGTGTCCTTTTCCTGTTCCATGATCTCATCCCGGATACCATATTTCATTTACTCCTCATGTCTCCTTAGGCTCCTCTTACTATGTGCTTTCTCAGGCTTTCCTTGTTTTTGATGACCTTGGTAGTTTTGAGGAGGACTAGCCAGGTATTTTGTAGAATTTCCAGCAATTGGGATTTGTCATGTTTTTCTCATGATTTGACTAGGGTTGCATGTTCTTGGAAGACCAAAGAGTGAAAGTGCCTTTCCATTACATCACATCATCCTATCAACATAATTTATCACCATTGATGTTAACTTCGGTCAGCTGGCTGAGGAAGTGTTTGTCAGATTTCTTCATTGTAAAGTTCCTCTGTTTTTACCCCCTTTCCATACTGCCCTCTTTGGAAAGAAGTAACTATGCTCAGATCATACCTAAGAAGTAGGGAGTTGAGCTTTACCTCCTTGAAGGCAGAGTATTTACATATATTATTTTGAATTATTCTGCAAGGGGGATTTGTGTATTCTCCCTGCTTATTTATTTATATCAGTATAGACTAATGGATATTTATTGTATCCTTTGTGTTATAATCCTATAGCACGTTATTTTGTTGCTCAAAAATTTTCCAGCTTTGGCCATTGGGAGCTCTTTCAGTTGACTCCTATGTCCCTTAGACATACCCCCATCATTTGAGTTCGGTTGAGCACTTTCTTACTTTCTGGCATTAGAAGATGCTCCAGACTCATCTGCTATATATCCTACCCGAGTCCTAGATTTAGCCATTTTCCAAGGAACCCTGGTTCCTCTGATTGAAAAATATTGGAAACCAAGAATTGGATGTTAGGTGTGCTTGTTGCTGCCAGGGAGTTGTTAATTCTAGGCCCTCCAAGAAAGGAAATATTTATCTGTATAATAACCTATCTATACATATTTCTATTTGTAACCATCTGTATCTATATTAAGATAAACATTAGTCCATACTGATGTTTCTGATCTTATTACCAAATAGATCATTCTAGCCTTTTCCCCTTGCTCTTCTGTAACCTTCACTCCAACAGGGAGAAATCTGGCTCTCACCATTGGCCACCTCTTTACTTAATTGTTCAATTCCACCATATATGTTTTTCTCATGATTTGATATCAAAATTATGTACACAATTCCTTATTTATTTTATGTGTATTAAACAAATGATTTTTAAAAATCAATAGATCCTTCTCGCTGTAAGCATGAAGACACAGTTTTCTCAGTGTTTCATACTCAAGTACCTCCAGAAGAATATGAAAACCAAATGCAGAATGCCAATCAAGGTATGCTTGAATTTGTGTGTGTGTGTTTTTTTTTTTTTACGTATCGTCACAGGAAAGTACTAGCTATATACAGAAATATCCACAGATGAGATGATTTGATGTGATTTAATCAGGAAGTGGGTGGAAGTAGGTGAGGTTCTAGATGAAATTAGATTGGTCATTGTTAATCAGTTAGTTGTTGAGGATTCATTATACAATTCTTTCTACTTTAGGATGTTTAATATTTTATATAAAAAGAGTTAAAGAAAAGCTGGCTGTACGTAATGAAAACCTAGTTAAGCAAAAAAGAAAATGTATGGAAAGAATCCTGGTGGTAGACATTCACTTTTATTCCCAAGATCATATTCTGTAGGTAGTCATTGAGAAGGAGACTATTCCAAAATCTTAGAGACCAACTGATCCAACTTGGGTTAGTGCTTAGTGCTGGTCCAGCCAACTCTTCCTACCCAGTATGGGTTGGGTCTCTATAGGAATATGGCAGCTTCTACCAGGGATCACCACCAGGATGGAGAGGAGGAGAGGACATATCTAGTGAGATAATTTTGACCAAACAATCGAATGTTTTCTACAATTTTTTAAAAGTATATTTTAAAGAAACTCTTATGTAGATCTGGATGCATTTAATTTGAGTTATTTTAATGCTGTATTATTTAAGAATACAGGAAACTTCAACTGTATGATAAACCTTATATTTCAACTTAAAAGACTATTTACAACTTGGGTTATGGAAAAAAAGTTACATATTTTATATCTAAGGAAACCATTCACCAAAACAGTAACTGCTACTTTAACTATTGGTAGTTGATTTAAAAAAATTATATAATTGATTAGAACATAAAACCCAAATTATAAAGCACAGATGTATTTGTCTAGAAACTTGTAACTTAACCTTGAATAAAAATTGATTTTACTCAAACTTATTTTTGTTTGAAAAGAATTTAAAACCAAAGATATTATTCTTTTTCTGGTTCTTTCCAGATATTAAAATTTATTGTTTAATGATTAAATTTGTATTAAATCTTGGATAATTAGCTACAAATACCCTTAATCCTTTTTAATGAGGTAACCTCTCTTGTAAAAGAAAGATAACTTTTAAGTAAACCTTGTCTGGATTGAGCTGCTGGCTGGTGTTTTTTCCTTTTGGACTTGAATGTGGCAATCTATCCTATTTTGTAGGGTGGACTCCACTTGTCATTTAAGAAGACTCTCCTTCTTAAACTAATGCATAGTTTTAAAGCATTCTTGCACCAGTGGGGTCCCTCAGCCTGGCCTGTGGGGATTGGGCTGAAACCTCCTCTCCGACATCCCCTGAGGGATCCTGGATTTCAGGAGGGCACAGGCCAGGCTGAGGGACTCCACCCGTGCACTGGGCCTCAAGTCCTATATAATAAAAGGGCAATATGCAAATTGACCAAATGGCTATGACGCTCACTGACTACCAGGGGGCAGACACTCAATGCAGGAGCTGCCTCCTGGTGGTCAGTGCGCTCCCACAGGGGGAGTGCTGCTCAGCCACAAGCCAGGCTGATGGCTGGCGAGCACAGTGGCCCGCCTCCGCGGCAGTGCTAAGGATGTCCGACTGATGGCCATCAGTCAGACATCCCTTGAGGGCTCCTGGATTGCAAAAGGGCGCAGGCCAGGCTGAGGGACTCCCCCTGTCCCCACCGAGTGCACGAATGTCATGCACCGGGCCTCTAGTATTGGATAAAGGGAATAATAGTGCATAAGCATTTTTCTTACCCTTGTTTTGAGCACTCAGGATATGAACAACTCAGAGGCTGGTTGAGAAAACTGAAAAAGTAGGATGGGCTTCAGGAGTTTGTGATGATAGGCTGCAGAACACCCAGGACACTTATGCCCAGATTTTACTTAAAAGACAGGTTTGAACAAAAAGTTGATTGCTCTGAGAGGGTGATGGCAAATTAATAAAGAATCTAGTCTCTCAGGGAAAGTTCTCTTTCATATAAAGACTCAAGTAAAATATATTTTAAAATTCCCATAACATCAGAACTTTCTCCTTTATATGAATCATAGTTCTTTTCACATTCCCCATGATTCTAAAGGAATCAACAGCAAGCAGTTTGATACATGGTAATGAATAACAGAAATTTTATGAGAACTTCATTGTAAATTATGTAGCACATTTATCTTTTTAAGAATAAATCTCTATATATTAGGTTTCTGGATTTGGAAATTAGAAGTTCTTCTAATGTGTGTTTTACTTCTTATATATGCTTAAGGTAAAATTTTAGCTTAATGACAATTATAATTATGAAAAAATTTTGAACTTTTTAATATTAGATTTTACCTGTGTTGTGGAAAGAAATGAGTCATTGATCAAAGCAGAAAAGAACCCCTTCTCAAATACAGAAAAGATTGAGCTCAGGGGTAAACACAGCCAGGATTTTATTAAGCGAAACATTGAGGTATGTATTTAGAAATTTAGAAGCCAGAATGTGGACTAAATGAGTTGTGATAATGGATATAGTTGTGTTTAGTGTCTTTAAATATTTTTTTTGACTGTGATACATGTATATGATCTAAACAGCATATGTGACTGAAAGAATAGTTTTATGAACCAGTACTTTACTATTTTCTATTTAATTTTATCTTATCCTCTCCTACTCATCACATTTATTCCAAAAACCAGAAAGGAATGCCCCAGCAAATATGTTTTTTGCATTGATATAATATAAAGAGAGGTGAGAAAATTGCTTGTGTTTTATTTTATAAATAAAACATTTGTTAAAAAGGTAACATGAGGGTTTACTTATAGCGAACATATCTTTGCTTGGAGAACACACCTATACCAAAAATTGACATAAAATAAAATTAATTGGCAAATGAAAATGCCTAATCTCACTAATTTTACTTTGTGTATCTATACTGTAGTAACCTCAGGTTTCATGTTTATTTTCCTGAACTATGAATTGCTTTGAGTTTTTAATATTTTTCATTAATACATTCTGTAGTTGGCCAAGAATTCAGGGAAACCAGAGGTTATGATCGACAGAGAGAAGAAAAGGCTGGTTGAACTTCTGAAGGACTTAGATGACCGAGATTCGGGGCTGTCCAGTTCTGGGGTATGTAAACTCTGAGAGTCACTGACCTCTACACTTCTTAATATATATTTTTTAATCATGTTATTGACCTATTAGTATACATTCATAATCATTTTTAAGATTATGAGATAATACTGTCTGACTTTAAAAAATCTTATTTACAGATTTGTATTGACATTTTCAAATTTATTCTTGGTCAATTCATTATTGACTTCCAAAGGATTATTTTATGTCATTATAAGAGTTACTACACATTGGTTATCACAATAATAACTCTGCCTGTGATGTAATGGGCTTAGTACTGATGGTGTATAATGTTTTGCTCAGTATCCTGTTATTTTGGACATTTCCTATTCTCCCTAAACTGGCTCCATGATATTTCAGTGTAGCGTTTAGTAAACCTAAAGAACGCTGTCCTGCTCCTGCCAGTTAACTTGGAGCATTCAGTTCCCTCATGAGTCCGGGGGAGCGAACAGCATGTGATTCAGGGTGCAAGTACCAGTATTTATAGGGCCCTGGCAAGTCACATAAGGAGTGCAGTGGCTCAGCATTTGCACTTACTTGCATACTAAACTTATAGCAATATTCTTTACTTGTACAAACAAATATGTTGTTCTGTGTTCCTTGAAGCTCTTAGCTTTGTCATCTAGTTTTTATTCCCCTACATTGAATAGAGACGTAATGTAGTGAATGCTGCTAGCACCCTGCTCAGATCCCTTTTACCTGGCACCTGTGTGTGCATCCACCCTCCCTAACCTGCCCTCTCACTCAAGATGAGATCAGCTCTGTGGTGCAGTTTGTCCTCCAGAGCTTCCGCAGGGGTCAGCAGGTCTTCAGCTGAGACCAGTCCTTGCTTGGCTCTGTTTCCTTGGCCTTGGCCAAGTCTGCTTCTCTCGCTCCCCGCTCCTCATAAGAGGCACTCGGCTGAGGCTTTGCCTTTTCATTTGGGGAGGTACAGTGTCCTCAGGACTTCACCTGTGTGTTATTGGCCCAGCTGTGTCACAAAGCCATTTGTTTGCCGAGTTGCTGGGATGCAGTTATTTCACTCTCTCATTTTTGTAGCAGAGGAAGGCAAGGAAGAAAACTGGAAAAGGGGATCAGGTCAGTGTACAAGTGTCTGTCACAGATGGGTATAGAACCTCTGGATCTCTCTTCCAGGTCTTATAACATTTTTTTTATAATCTTTATCTTTTTTGTCATTTTGCTCATATGAACTCATTTTACAGTTTTCTAAGTTGGATTTTCAATCATGTCTGTTCCTCTATTTCTGCTATTTAGTTACTTAGCCCTCTTTTGAGATTTATTTTTATCCTTAATGTTCATTGATTTTAGAGAGAGAGGAAAGGAGGGAGAGAGCAAAGGAGGAAAAGGAAGAGAGAGAGAGAGAGAGAGAGAGAGAAAGGAGAAACATCAATTTGTTGCCTCCTGTACATTTCTTGACCTGGGATTGAACCCACTACCTGGGTATGTGCCCTGACCAGGAATTGAACCTACAACCTTTTGGTGTAAGGGAAGTCACTCCAACCAACCGAGCCACCTGGCCAGGGCCTACTTATTGTTGTTTTTTGAACTAATTTATGCTGAGAGTTTTTTTCTGCAAGTCCTCTAAGGAGAAAGAGGGTTCTGTCTTATTGTCTGGCATGGGAGATAGACATTTTATACAGAAATTCTATAAAGCCAGGTAGATAATGGCATATGTTGAAAAAGAGATTCTGAGGAGGAAGATATGAAGTGCCGCAGAAGACTTTAGGAACACGTTGAGGAGGAGACCCATCTACTGTATTCTCAGACCGCACCAGATTTCATGTCATTCCTCAAATCTGCTGTATTCTTCTGTGTGCCCTTTACTTTATGGAGCGCCCCATCACTTCCTCTCTGATAAACACCTATGAGACTTAAAAAGGATGACTAAAATGATAATTATGTCTTAATTCCCCAGAACTCTTGCCCTCTGGTTGTTCCTTTTACTGGCATGTTTAATTATGTGGGTGTAATATTCTCTTGAATCTCTCTAGGATACTTAGAATTTTTAAGAGATTTACTCCTGGATTGGGAACTCACACTTAAAACTAATGTCACTTCCCAAAGCCAGATGCCTCTACTATCATCTTCCCAGCAAAATGGGTTTTGCATCAGATCTCATATTACATCTAACTCAGTACCAAGTGGGTGAGGCTGGTTGTGGACCCTTGGTTACTAGCCTGGGCCCTAGCCGTAAAGGAGGATGGTGAAGAGCATTTTCTGGGTTCTGTCTTAGGGAGGCAAGCTCCTAAAAGCTACAGATTTCCCACACATAGCAAGGGTGTCTAGAAGGTGCTAGACAGACAGAAAAATACTGTAACATCTACTACATGTTACATATAATTTCTGTCTGCAACTGCATAGTGAATGGAGCATTTATATTTCTGTTGAAGTTAATCTGACATGTTCTTTTACCTCCAGTGTCATTAAAAAGAATTCCATTCAGACAAGAATTTAAAATTTATTAACCAATATTTAGTCATTGTGATTCCATAATTTTACTTTTTGGTGGTACTTTATTATTTCTCATTTAAGTAACACAGTATTTATATCACTTTTATTTAGGAAAAATTAACCAGGGTTTCTTACTTGTGAACAGCTAGGTGATATTATTTTTAAAATAACTATGTATGACTTTCATGTGCCAATTTCCAAGTGTATTTAAAATGTTTATTACTGTATCATATTCTTGTAGGGGTATACTACAATTGACTTATTTTTAGACATTTAGGCTTTTTGCCTATATTTATTACAAATAACTTGGAAAAAATGTATTAGTCACTGTTCTGGGTTACAAGAAACAGAGATGGACTTTGGTTAAAAAAACAAAAACAAACCCAAAACAGAAACTGAATTTATTGGGAGGCTTGGGTAGTTCACAGACTCATGGAAATTCGGAGAACCAGGTTTGTAAACCACACCGATATCAAAGTGGACAGAAACAAGGCCACAAAAACTCCTCAGAAACAGGCTGCTTCAAGCTGCACCGTAGTCCCAGCCACTCCCGAGGGGTGGTCACTGCTGCCACCTTCACTGCTGCCAGCACTGGCCTCACTGCCACTGCTGTCCCCTAGTCACTCCCCCGGTTTCCCTGCACCTTCGCATCTCTCTTTCTCCCTCAGAGTCAAGGTTCAGGGTGTTGACTTCCGTTTGGCCGAATCCAGGTCACTTGCTTGTCTTCTTGATGCCAGTGGGCAGGGAGAAGGAGTGTCTGGTGGGGACCTATCTCCTACCAAGACTCATGCAGTGTTTGTTTTCACTGAAACAAGAAGGGAGATTTCATGCTAGGGTCAAGGGGAGACACAGAAACCTATGTCTTTCTGCATAGGTTTTAGCATGTATTACATCTAGGGATTGATTCCTGGTATGAGTGTCCTGGTATGAAATTCTTAAGCTTCCTTGCCCTCCACCTGCCCCTTTATTTTAAAAATGTTCTTCATGATTCTTCTGTCATCGTACTACATGCTTCCCTGTGTGATCTCACCCATTCCCATGGTTCAGGGTTTCAGGCCACTATAGATGTATGGGTGAGTCCGAAGTACTCATTTCTAACCCAGTTCTCTCCCTTGAACTTCAGACATCTGTTTACCTAACACAATCTGTGGATATCCTACGGACATCTGTGCAAATATCAAAAGGTCCCAAACATTTACCGTCTCAAACCTAACACATCTGTGTTCCCTAGTTTGGTCAATATGATTAACATCCCCCTCATTGACAATATCAGGAAGTTAGTGTTTATCCCTGATCCTTCCTCTTCCCTTTACCCTTCCATCACATTATCTCTAGCATCTGTAAATTCTACTTCCTAAGTTTCTCTGGAGTCTGTCTGTCTTATATTCTGCACTCCCAGGAGACATTCCTCAGTTCAGGCACTTATCACTTTTGTTTTAGATTATGAAGTTTGCTTCTTAACTGGGTTTTCTGCCTCTAATCTTGCCCTCACCAGCTGCAGTTTTAAAGTGCATGTTGTTTCTTTTATTAAGATATGATTAAGTTTGATTATTTCTGCCAGGAAGCCTTTTCCAACCACTTTGTCCCTTCCTGTCCAACTAACAGAGGGTAGTTGACCCTCTCTGGTTCCCAAGGTGCCCTAGGCTTACTGGTGAGCTTCACACCTTGTTAAAATCTTGCTGCCAAGAGACTGAGAACTCCTTGAAGGCAGAACCTTGTGAGATTCATGTTGAATCACCAGTGTAATGCCGACACAGAGTAGGCACTCAGTATGAGATTTTTAAAAAAATTATTGACAGCATTACAAATGTCTCTCATTTTCTTCCTTTTTGTCCCCCCTCCACCTCAGGCCTTCCCCATACTATTGTCTGTGTCCATGGGTTGGGCATATATGCATACTAGAAGCCCGTTGCACGAAGATTCGTGCAATAGGCCTTCCTTCCCCTGGCTACCAGCATTGGTTTTCCTCTGGCACCCAGAACCCAGGCCTTTGGTCCGGCCGCAGTGGAGAAGCCAAGCCTCGAGGCTAGGCTTCTCCCCTCTGGCTGCAGCGAGGCTTGGCTTCTCTGCTGTGGCCGCTCCCGCAGTGGAGAAGCCAAGCCTCTTCAGTCTTCAGTCTTCACTCCAGCCAGAGCCTTCAGTCTTCGCTCTGTGCCGGTGTATGCAAATTAACCGCCATCTTTGTTGGGTTAATTTGCATGCTTGTTCTGATTGACTGGTGGGCATAGCAGAGTGACACCAATTTGCATGTTTCTCTTTTATTATTGTAGACTAGAGGCCTGGTGCACAAAAATTTGTGCACTCGGCGGGGGGGCCCCTCAGTCCGGCCTGTGCCCTCTCACAGTCTGGGACCCCTCAGAGGATGGCCACCTGCTGGCTTAGGCCCGCTCCCCGGGGGGTTGGGCCTAAGATGGCAACCAGACATCCCTCTGGCAGCCCAGGAGCCCTCGGGGGATGTTCGACTGATGGCTTAGGCTCGCTCTCCATGGGGAGTGGGCCTAAGCCGTCAGTCGGATATCCTTAGTGCTCCCACAGAAGTGGGAGAGGCTCCCACCACTGCTGCTGCGCTTGCCAGCTGTGAACCCGGCTTCTGGCTGAGTGATGCTCCCCCTGTGGGAGTGCACTGACCACCTGTAGGCAGCTCCTGCATTGAGTGTCTGCCCCCTGGTGGTCAGTGCACATCATATTGAGCAGTTGAGCGGCCTTAGCATATCATTAGCATATTACACTTTGATTGGTTAAACAGACGACTGGACACTTAGCATATTAGGCTTTTATTATACAGGATTATAAGGGGGTTTTTATATCCTAGATAAAAATTATTCTACATCATGATTGTGGTGGTTACACTACTGTGTATATTTATTAAAACAGTATTTGTAATTTCAAATGGAAGATTTTTTAATGTATGTGAATTACAATACTGACTTTTAAAAGGAAATGTTAAAAAATTATCAAGTGATGTAACATTTTGCTAGGCCATAATTCTTCTAGATAGAATATCAATGCCAAGTGATGGCACAGACATTTTAGTAGCCTTGGCGAACACTAAATGCTTTATCCTTTTGTTTAAAAGTAGATGTTATATATCATTGCAAAGTCTTCCGCCATCAGGTGGGAGATTTGACATTGACACATTTGGTCAGGGGAACCTTGGCTTCCTCCATCACTGGAGCAAGCAAGCCTCCTGCTCGCTTCAGCTGTGTGGCTGCCGGCCGCCATCTTGGTTGGGTTAATTTGCATATCCTGCTGATTAGCCAATGGGAAGTGTAGTGGAGGTATGGTCAATTACCATGTTTGTCTATTATTAGATTAGATATGTTCTTCAGTATGAGATTTTTGAATTGTTATGAATGGGTCTTTATTATGAAACTATAATGTTAGTTGAATGAATTAGATGGCCAGTTAAATTCATAAAATCCAAACAACTGAGTTTATAGGTCCTGTGTTACTTTTCAGGGACAAATTTTGAAAATACCATGTCCATTATAGGATAAACATGATTTCTCTCTCTTCATCATATTACAACCACTTTCACAAAGTGGAGAAATGAGCATGCAATGAGAATCAGACTGTGAGGATAAGAGATTTATTTCACAGGGCAAAAAACCTACAAAGGGTAATTTATGGAGATATTTTACACAGAGTTGGCAGATAATGAAATCATAAACTATTTAATTTTTTTTCTTTCACTATGCCAGTGTTAATTCTGTGCTTTTGTTTTATTTTGTTTTCTTAAAAAAATTTTTTTGGATGAAATCCTGAGCATTGAAGTAGCAGTCTGAAAGGTATATTATATTTTGGGAAGAAATATAGAATGGGAATGATCTGGTGACCATTTTTTCCTTCTAGGGTGATCTGTCTGTCTGTCTGGTCCCAGGCGAAGGATATACACTGGCAGTCACCCAACATCAGCAGCTTGCTGAAATAGATACAAAGCTCCAAGAATTCTCTGCAGCCTCCCCAACAACGTTCAGCTTTTCTCCAGGACTTGGAGATCAGAATGATCAGGTATATCATACTCAAGAGTGCATGGACCGCTCAGGTTTATGTGTGCTAAAGCTAGTTCACATTTGGCAGTCCACTTGTTAACAAAGAGGTTTCTTCTCCATTGCTTTTCCTTCTTCCCAGTTGCTTATCCTTCCATGACCACAACTGCAGCGATAGTAATTTCTATTATAGTGTGTATTTTCCTTTGGTGATTTCTCTCTATTCATTTTTATTTCAGTTGGTAATTTGCTGGGATGGAGTTACTGAGAAAATATTATTTTAATATTATTATTTCTTAAGATTTAAGCTAATTCTTTTTGTTGTTATTAATCCTCACTTGAGGATATTTTCCATTGATTTATAGAGAGAGTGGAAGGGAGGGGGAGAGACAAAAAGAGGGAAACATTGATGTGAGAGAGACACATCAATTGGTTGCTTCCCGTATGTGCCCCAACTGGGGCTAGGGATCAAGGTACATGCCCTTGACTGGAATTGAACCTGTGACCCTTCATTCCATGGGCCAATGCTCTATCCACTGAGCCAAACCAGCTAGGGCTAAGCCAATTCTTGATTGTGATCAGGAGGGAGGAGAGGGAAGAAAATCGATATAGCACTTATTAGTACTTTGAGAGCCATGTTTCTCTTTATTCCTCTAGTTCTAGGTATTAGCACTGGTAGCCACTGTCCCTTATTCTGACACATTCTTTAGCTCCTTTAGTGGAACATCAAGCAGTGAAGCTCACCAGGTTGATGTCTACTCTCCTATGAGTATTTTGAAATGAATGTGTTTCCTCTTTCAATAGTTCCCTCAAATATTCTTTTACAAAGCTGGTAGGATGTGTAGAAAACCAGAAGAATAATAGCAGCTTTGGAAAAGTAAAATTATTCCCTCTCCCCCACCCCCACTATATTTCAGTACTTCTTGGGATCTAGTTTGGCCTTGGATAGCAGTTTTCACCTGAAGAGAAAATGGCTGGTCTCTTGTTATTTTTACTGACCCTCTACAAGTTTTAGAAACATCTCACCAAATCATTTTTTGTACAATCTTACATGCATGTAATTTTCTTTGTTCTTAAAAAGATTTAAACATCAGTAGTCTATAGGTAATAATTCTGCTTTATAGTGAATCTTTTATCCAAGCTATCAATTGAAGGTTAGCGATTTGGCTTTGGGCCAATTTAAACTATCTCAGGGGAAAGAGCAGTTTTAAAAAATGTTCTGAAGAAAGTTTGGTCACTGGCAAATCTTTCTGGAGCCAGCTTAGCCTCCTTAGGTTATGTGTCTAAGGGCCAGGCACAGCTGCTTCTGAGCCCTTTACGCGGCAGTAGTGGTGGTGATGGAAACCACTGATTTTTGGACTGGGGTCAGAGTTCTTGGAAAATAGAGAATTGGAATCTCTGTCCCCATCCAAATGTACCCTTGAACATCAACACTAACTACATTGCTAGTTTATTTATGTTAGTGGGTGCCATTTCTCAAAAGGAGGAAGCCAAGATGGGGAATATTCTTGTGTTACAGCTGATTTTTAAAATTTTTTATTGTTAGATTTCAGTGGCAGCTGAGATTTGAAAGCTGAATAATGGTCCTAAAGATAGAAAATGTCTTTTTCATGGTATCAAATGTTATTCTTGAATGGGAAACTGAGAATTTAGAGATTTATTTAGCCATTAGGACTTTAAATAAAGTATGACTATGGTTAGATTCTGTCATTATCATTTAAATCACATTTTCAGAGTGCACATTTATGGTTCTGATAAAATATTTAGAAAATAGTAACAGGGGAACCATTACATTACTTAGTTGTTACATAATGAGATTATATATTTTTATGTGAAACATTAATTAAAAGGAAAGAGAAAACTGCATTTTGGGACTCCCATTGGATGGAGAAACAGAAATATGACATCCTAGTTGTTGAAAAAAAATGATGAATGCTCTTTGCATGCAAAATAAAGAATATCTTCGAGCTTTTATTCAATTTCCTTTTGGCATTTTCTCATTTCTAACTAAAACCAGAATTGCACATTGAATTTTCAAGCCAGAAATGCTAACTTGGCAAATTATTTTATGGATATTATTTTTGGATTGGAATTCTTTTTGAATAAATACACTGAAAAATATCTTGGATAAACCGGGCTCATCTATTCAGTTGATTAATGGGCTCTAATCTACTGCTGACCCACAAATATTCATAGTGAATATTCACGTTATTTTTATTTTTCACTCCTTCTGCAAACCGTTAACTCATCAAATTTTTTTCTCCATGCTCCTTAAGAAATAATGTCTTTTAAATGAAATATAAACTTCTGTTTTTCAACAATCAATTCAACAAATATTAATGAAGTGCTCACTGTGTGCAAGGAATTATAGGACATTTAAAGGTAAGTCAGGCAAATATAGAACTCGCTGCAAGTGCTGGCTCTTTCACTTACTAGTTCTGAGGCCTGGGAATTAATTACAAATACTCCTATCTCCAGTTTCCTCATCTGTAAAATAGTAATAATAATACAATTCTTTAGTGTTCTTTTAAAGGGTAGATGAGTTAATACAGTGGTCGGCAAACTGCGGCCCCTTGAGTGTGGTTCTTCCACAAAATACCCGTGTGGGTACACACGTACAGTGCGATTGAAACTTCGTGGCCACACTCAAGGGGCCAAAGAGCCGCATGTGGCTCGCGAGCCGCAGTTTGCCAACCACTGAGTTAATATATGTAAAATGCTTAGCAGTGTCTGACACAGAATTCAACCGATGATATTATTAGAATAACTAGAGGCCCGGTGCATGAATTCGTGCACAGGTGGGGTCCAGCCGGCCCCGCCCCCAACTGGGGGGGGCAATAGGAGGCAGGGCTGGCAAGGGGGCGGAGCCACGGTGGTTGGCCAGCTCTGGCCCTGATCAGGGTGAGGGGGGCCAATTGAGGGTGGGGTTGGCAGGGGGGAGGGGCCACGGGCAGTTGGCTGACTGGCTCCTCCCCCTGGTCAAACTCCTGGTCGAACTCCCGATTGAGGGGAAAATTTGCATGTTAGCCTTTTATTATATAGGATAAGAAGTGACTTAAGGAATTTATTTTTTATGAGAGGCACAGATTATACAGATAACAGGTATAAAACAACGTAGGCTAGCACAATCAAAAGCTATAAGCAAAGTATTATGGTGGTTCAGAGGAGAGAGAAAGGGCATCTAGAAGGAGTACGAAGAAAGTCTCTTTCTGTGAGTGAGTGGCAGGAGGAGGAAGAGGAGCTTGTGAATGAGTCAGGAGGGGTCCGAGGCCCAGAAGAAGGCTGCCATTATACAGCAGGAGGTTGAGAACTGGTTGCCTGCAGGGCTCACAGATGGGTTTCCTTTAGCCCATATAGGGTTTGCAATCAACATTTAAAAATTGGGTGACCTCATATAAAAATCCAAATTTCTAGTTTCTGTTGAAAAATTAGAAAATCTGGCAACATTAGGCCCGAATCTTTGCTTGGCCCACTACAGGACTGAACCGAGTAGCAACTGCTGCTTTAGAAGGAGCACAAATTCTCTAGTTTGCTCCAGTGTCCACTACTCATATTGTATTGCAGGCCCTGAGGCCTACTGCCTGTATTTATGTTACTTTCCAACCCCTGCACAGGCCATCAACACATCTTTGAATGCCGGCTTATTTCATAGGAGATGCTGTGATGGTTGATGTTAAGTATTCAGATTAGTATGTGGCTAAGGCAGCCTTAAGGCAGCTTGTAGGTTCCTGGAGGATAGGATATAATCACAGAACAAGTTGTGGAGTGATCATATAATGAAACAAAAAGCAGCACAATATGGAAACTGAGAAAATATATGTTTGATGAAGGCATGATATTTAAAAGATTCTTTCTGAGATTTTAAAAATTGTGTTCCAAAAAATAGTTTCCCAAACAAGTTGAAACATGTAGACTTTCTGACTGACCTGACTATGGCAACCTTAAAGTGCCAAGTTGGTCAGCCTAGGATGATAAAGCACCTGAGTCATGATAGTTTGAGAGGTTCCAGAAATGTGACTCAGAGATCAAGAAAGTGTTGGTTGTTGTGAAAAGGGCAGAGAGGAAACCTTTTCCTGATGAGCTTGCTGATTACAATGTTCTCAAATAGATGTGCTGGCCTGGCTCTTAACTTCATGGTAATATTTTAAAAGCAGCATTTGGCTTTTCCATATCTGATTTCCTTAGTGTAAAACAAAGCACGTGGTCACATTCAGGAGAACCAATGGCATAATCTTGCTATTGCTGTGATGTAAATAATATCATGTGGCTGCAGATTTTACATCTGCTTTTTATTTTCATTTCATCTTAGCAAAAGAGAACTAATTGAAGCAACTTTTTAAAGATCTGTGGCTTAACTGTGCATAATTTTCTGTATTCATCTAACTCTCCAACAAATCAGTTCTTTCCACGTATAGTAAATCCCACCATAAAATTGAGTAAGGTTTCATAATTTAGTACTGTATTTCTTATTTGTAGCTGTATGAGAGTCTAGATTTTCCCAGAAATATCTAAGATAGGAGTAATGTAAGCATTCAGTTTCTTAAGTCCTTAGCAACTGGATTCAATAATAGATTTGTTCAGGTTGGCTTTTTTTAAAGAAGTGTAATTTATCTTTCATGCAATCAGTCTTACTAAATCTAGAATTCCAGTTTACGGTAAGATGTTCTTTTTCTGGTTGGGAGAGGGTCTTCAGAAATGGCTTTCGTTGACAAGAGGTATTTCTTTGTTTTTAAACCAAGTAATGTAATTGAATATAAAGGTCCTGCTTCATTTGATTTATTTTCTTGTTCTTAAAATATTGATTCAGTTGTACACAATTTGGTAAGACCAATAGAATATCAACAAACATTTGATTGAGGAAAATAATAGTGTTAATCTCTTTCCTTGTCAAGAGCATACTATTGCTGATAGCAACAACTAACTTTTTTTCTTCTTCCTGTTTCAACAGTAGCTAAAACTGAGGAAATATAAATCATTGCTTGACATGTAATCCTGAAAGATTTTTATTGTTGAGTCCAGGGA